AGCGCAGACCCCCTTGCAGCCCCGCCGGATGAATGAATATGTTCCATAGGAAGTACATGGAGGTGATCACGCGGCGGATGAGTTACAGGTCCCTCATAAGGACACATTTGTTTTTAATTGACGAAGATACTAAAACTAATTGAGAACAGACCGGAACCTTCGCTAATGAACATACAAAACAGAACAAATCTGCCAGAATTTACAAACAACAAAATCAATTCCAGTTTTTTTTATAGAACAAATGCAGCTTTCTGAGTATTCCGAGTATTCCGAGAACAAATCGCAATAAAGCCGAATCTACCGATAAAGAGATAAAACATTTGCTATCTGTTATCTGATCATTTGATGTGTTTATATCCTCTGCCCTATAAAACCTCCCTGATTTATATCCAACGTCCCGAAATAATTAGCAGGATCCCGTCAGCGCTTTCCACGTACACTTCTCCCAGAAATTAGCATATAAAAGAGATGCCAGATATGATTTCAGGACATTATTAAAGACATTTTAATTACAGGCAAAACATTTGCTGGAGACGAAGTTTGGCAATTGGCGCCATAAAATGTTTAGTGTCCATTTAGGTTCTTTTATTCTCCAGTTAATAAGAATGAAAAATGTTTATTCGTTGCCACTAAAATATCAATTCGAGATTTTAGAAGCTTCGAGATGATTTTGGACTGGATGCCGAATAAAAAATAGATGTGTCATTGGATTACGTTCCTGTAGAGACGTCTTCATGTGCTGCTCAGTGTCTGATGACACACAGATGGAGCGCATTGTCAATGTAGCTGAATGATGTAATCTTCCTCGTAGCACCGTGTGGACCTCACACTTCCAGTAGGCTGAGGAGAGATGTGGACCTCACACTCCCAGTCGGCTGAGGGGAGATGTGGACCTCACTAGTTGGCTGAGGAGACATGTGGACCTCACACTCCCAGTAGGCTGAGGAGACATGTGGACCTCACACTCCCAGTAGGCTGAGGAGACATGTGGACCTCACACTCCCAGTAGGCTGAGGTTATATGTGGACCTCACACTCCCAGTAGGCTGAGGTTATATGTGGACCTCACACTTCCAGTAGGCTGAGGTTATATGTGGACCTCACACTCCCAGTTGGCTGAGGAGACATGTGGACCTCACACTCCCAGTAGGCTGAGGAGACATGTGGACCTCACACTCCCAGTAGGCTGAGGAGACATGTGGACCTCACACTCCCAGTAGGCTGAGGATATATGTGGACCTCACACTCCCAGTAGGCTGAGGTTTTATGTGGAGAGAAGGGGGTCTGAGTGCCTGGACCATAGAGAGGGGTCTGAGTGTCTGGACCATAGAGAGGGATCTTTGTGCCTGGACCGTAGAGAGGGGTCTGAGTGCCTGGACCATAGAGAGGGGTCTGAGTGCCTGGACCGTAGAGAGGGGTCTGAGTGCCTGGACCATAGAGAGGGGTCTGAGTGCCTGGACCATAGAGAGGAGTCTGAGTGCCCAGACCATAGAGAGGGGTCTGAGTGCCCAGACCATAGAGAGGGGTCTGAGTGCCTGGACCATAGAGAGGGGACTGAGTGCCTGGACCATAGAGAGGGGACTGAGTGCCTGGACCATAGAGAGGGGACTGAGTGCCTGGACCATAGAGAGGGGACTGAGTGCCTGGACCATAGAGAGGGGTCTGAGTGCCTGGACCATAGAGAGGGGTCTGAGTGCCTGGACCATAGAGAGGGGACTGAGTGCCTGGACCATAGAGAGGGGACTGAGTGCCTGGACCATAGAGAGGGGACTGAGTGCCTGGACCATAGAGAGTGGAGACATGTGGACCTCACACTCCCAGTAGGCTGAGGAGACATGTGGACCTCACACTCCCAGTAGGCTGAGGATATATGTGGACCTCACACTCCCAGTAGGCTGAGGTTTTATGTGGAGAGAAGGGGGTCTGAGTGCCTGGACCATAGAGAGGGGTCTGAGTGTCTGGACCATAGAGAGGGATCTTTGTGCCTGGACCGTAGAGAGGGGTCTGAGTGCCTGGACCATAGAGAGGGGTCTGAGTGCCTGGACCATAGAGAGGAGTCTGAGTGCCCAGACCATAGAGAGGGGTCTGAGTGCCCAGACCATAGAGAGGGGTCTGAGTGCCTGGACCATAGAGAGGGGACTGAGTGCCTGGACCATAGAGAGGGGACTGAGTGCCTGGACCATAGAGAGGGGTCTGAGTTTGAGTGGAGTGATGAAATGTCTGATTTCTGAGTTTTGCCTAAAATCTAATTTTTGCTCATCGAGTTGCTTAGGCAAAATTTGTGTAAAAAATATATATTTTTTATATTATTTTATTTATATATTGAGGAGACATTTGTATTTAGAGGGTATATATTTAGGGAAGTGTAATGTATTTCTTTATTTGTCATTGATAGTCAGGTTACCTGATAGAACTTTCATTTTTCGTTGGTTTCAGATAACGTTAAGAAAGCATTTGGAAAACAATGTAACAGCACAAATAATAATAATAATAATAGACACCATACCGTAATGATCTCCAGCACTTCTTTTTTGTTGATGGTCCCATTGCCGTCCACGTCGTATAAGGAGAATGCCCACTCTAGTTTCTGGTTGGCTTTGCCCGATGAGGTCATATGAATGGCTATCATGTATTCCTTAAAGTCCAACGTGCCGTCGCTGTTGGCGTCAAAGCTCCTGAAGACGTGGTGGGCATAAGCTTTTGGGTCAGCGTCTGGGAAGAACTTGGAGTAGATTCTTTCGAACTGCTTCTCGCTAATCCTCCCGCTGGGGCACTCCTTTAGAAAAGACTGGTACCAGGTGCACAGTTCCTCCTGCGTGAATTTGGTGTTCAGCTGCAGCTCCTCCAAAATCTCTTTGGAAAGGGCCCCGCTTTTGCTGTTACCCATGATGACCAAAAACTAGAAGTTCTAGGAACTAAAAGGCCAGACGTTCCCTTTTTGTCCTACAAGACAAAACACAAGGAGGTGATGAGCCCGGCATTCTTCATGAGCCTAAATCCAGATAATGCCGATTTGGGATTAGGAGGGTTTAGGCGTCATGTGGAGAATGATACCGACTCTCCGACTTGTGCCGAGCGTCACCAATCCTCCGTTCAGGTCCATTGTCTTTATGACGATACAAATTACGAAGGTTGGGTTTTATCTTTTGTAACACATTACAAGTGGGGTCCATCATTCTGACCTGAAGGACAACCAACCAGCCATTGGAACCATGTCATGCCTTCATCTCCAAGGCTTTATCTCATTGGGTTTTCATAGTGCTCAGTATTAGGATGCTGCTAATTGTGATTGTCCCTTTTAGAGTGTAAGCCCTCAGGGGCGGGGCCCTCCTTACCATCTTGTCTTGTAGCTCTGGTCCTCCATCCCCTCCCCCTTGTCTCATAGCTCTGGTCCTCCATCCCCTCCCCCTTGTCTCGTAGCTCTGGTCCTCCATACCCCTAATTAGTTTGGTTGCCGTCCGCTGGACTTTTTCCAACTCGAGGACATCTTTTCTTAGTACTGGTGACCAGAACTGGACCGCGTACTCCAGATGAGGCCGAACCAATGATCTATAAGGTGGTCATAATAATCCGGCCACTCAGTGTATATAATAATCCGGCCACTCCGTGTATTGTACAGCGCTGCGCACACTGTTGGCGCTATATAAATCCTATATAATAATAATATAATAATAATTGTTCAGGATTATTAGAGACATTGAACGGTGCTGGCTAATGAGTCTCAGTGATGTCTGGGGCAGGAATGTTAACATAATAATATGACATCATTTGTGCCCCATGTTTATGGGTCATTTAGCCCTCACCTCACATCCATTGCCCGGACGTCAGACTTTGAGCCTCGATTACATGCAGACGTGACAGAAATGTATCTTTCGGAGTATCGCAGATGCATTAGCTACCTAATTAATTCTCACCCACATTCTGTAATAAGATCCAATTAGGCATATAATGTGTAAAGAATTGGCATGAGTTTAGGTTCCGCCTGTATCTGTTATTGATGCATCATACCCTCCAATGTGAGATCTCTCCCAAGACTTGGATCGGACTCGGCTCCAGGCTGACCTGAAAGGACCTCGGCCCGAACAGAGAGGAGGTAGCTGAGATTTAATACACGGCCCCCCTTTAAAGGTGCTTCACATCGACTCATCGCTAAGCTTCAGGTCTAAAAATAACGGATGTAAATCCACTTATGACGTCCAATGTATAGCTCAGATATTATCCATCTTGCGTTAGACGTATACCTTTGCTGCATCGAAAAGTTCCGGATTCCATCTATCGGAGCTCCCGGGGTTGGCGATTGATTGGTTGAGGGATTTTCTGACAATGGCTTGATTAGAAATAAATCCAAACATAATTCACTGGGCCCGGGGCCGTCCCTATAATGAGGCAGCCTGAGCTTTTGCCTCAGGCGGCATCGCATTAGTGGGGCGGCAGTTGTGTGTGTGGGGAGGGGTGGGGGGCAGCCACAGTCTTCCAGTTAACAACCTGTGGCTCCGTCCATGCAGTCTGGCTTCCTGCCTAGCCTGCTGACGTCATCAGTACCCAGGGACCTGAGCAGGACGCTGTAGCTGGCGTCCCGCCGAGCTCCTGGTAGCCAGTGATGTCAATGAGCTGGGCTGGACTTGACAGAGAGCCGCTGACAGACACAACACAGGTCCAACACAGCTACCTGTCTCTATGAATATGTACATTTCAGATTCAGCTATTGAGCTCTGTAAACATTTGACAATTAGCCAATAAAGATGTTCAGTAATAATTGCGTGTTCAACATCAGCAGCGTGTGGGGTATTTCCTGTTTGTATCATTCTTTGCCCGGAGTTCAGCTTTAAATGGGAGGAGTCGGGTCAGAAACACAGGAGCCGTTATTACCGAATTTTTCAAGCTGCGTGCTCGAGGGGCCGTCATCCTTATCCCTGGCTCAGTACTCATGATGCATCCGACCCAGCACAATGTGAGTATCCAGGGGGGTCTCATCCCCGACACGCTCATGCTTGTTGACAGGGCAGCCATCAGGGGGGTACGGCAGATACTCATGTAAGGGGCCCGGGCAGCCTGGGGGGGCCCGCCCGGGTCCCTTACATGACTATCGGCCGACGGTGAAGGGCGAGGAGGCTGAGGCCTGGCCCAAGCAGCGCAGGGCCCCAGCTCTACAGCTCCAGTGGCTTTGAGACAAGCTGGGGCCCCATCAGCGACGCTGCTCGTCTGATGTCGGACTGGCCGGAAGTGATGTCACTTTTGGCCGGTCCAGCGGCAGACGAGGCCACGTGTGCAGGTAAGAGGAGCTAGGAAGGAGGGAGAGGGGGAGGGATGTAGCCCTGACCAGCTCACCTGAGACCCCTTCAGAGCCCACCATAGACAGTCTCAGATGGGCTGTGCAGCATCTATGGTGGACTCTGCAGGGTCACTCTCAGGTGGGTCCTGCGTCCAGCGCGTCACTAAGCCCTGCGCCCAGCGCGTCACTAAGCCCTGCGTCCAGCGCGTCACCAAGCCCTGTGTCCAGCGGCGCGGGAGGGGAGGGGCCCGGCCTAAAGCCGTGTAAGGGGCCCTAAAATTTCTGATGGCTGCCCTGCTTGTTGATTAAAAAGGCATTTTATGAAGGATGAGGATGACAGCCCGCAGCCAGCAATGGTGGCTTCCATTCTTCTCTCCTGACTCTCCTGTTGGAATACTGAGCGTGATGACGACTGACACATCTGGGGAATTGTAGCGACACGTCAATGTAACATTCGAGTCTTCTGAGAAAGGAAATGTAAAAAAAACACAACAAATCAGAGGAACAAATCACCTGGGAACGTGATTGCGTCTCGGCGCCTCCGCTTGCAGGGAATTGACGGGCTGATTGATGGTGGAAAGTCTTCATCAAACCCATTCAGCGTTCCTCCAATTCTCTGTCATTACTCCGCAGCGATTGTCACTCTTCTGTCACGTCTCCAAAGGAAAATAATTACAGCTCGTCAAGTAAATCCGCAGACAATCCGAAGACAATCACAACAAACAATTCACATTTCAGATTCTCCGTTTATTTTAAACTTGTGACAGAAGTTTTCATTTCTGTTCTTCTAATAAGTGTCTGAGAGTAGAAGATTCCGGGCTCGTATGGCCGCCGCACAGGCACGGAGATGGCGTTGATGCCGCGTTCAGAAACGTAATCCTCCTGTCCCATCGCACTCCTGACCGGACAAAAACCCAAATCCAACTGGGTGGGTGCGGTAGTGACAACGGATGCCTCCGTGAAATGTAGATAGATGAAAGTAGTCACTCGCACTCCATGATATTAAATTCAATGCTGTTTATTGACTGAGATAACACACATCTCCTTAGCAACGTTTCGAGACCATGCGGTCCCGTCCTCAGGCAAACAGAGAGGATGCCGCGTTCAGAAACATATGTTACAATTTAACATTCGTCCAAAATGTGCATTAGAATCAGGGATGCACCGATACCACTTTTTTAAGTACGAGTACCGATACCTTTGATCAAGTACTCGCCGATACCAATTACCGATACTTTTTGTTAAAGGGACAGGTCACATTTTTTTCTAAAGCAATACAAACTAATGCTTTAAGGTCACTTTCTTAATATTATGATTCATGAGGTGACGAGGGAGCATGACGCCGGCTTCCCGGCCAATCAGAATGCCGGGCGCTGCGTCATTACACGGCACCCGGCTTCCGGATTTGCTAGCTTCCTGACCAATCGGGAAGCCGGGCAGCGCGTCATTGCACGCTACTCTGCTTCCTGATTGGCCGGGAAGTCGGCTCCATGCTCTCTCATCACATGACGAGAGAGTATGGAGTCGTTTCCTGGCCAATCAGGAAACCGGGCAGCGTGTAATGATGCGCTGCCTGGCTTCCCGATACCGGAAGTACTCGTGCTAGGTATCGGAGCATTTGGGCGAGTACGAGTACTCACCCAAATACTTGGTATCGGCACCGATACCGATACTAGTATCGGTATCTGTGCATCCCTAATTAGAATCCATTCACAGTCCACATCACAGAGCGAGATTCAGTAATAATAGAATGTAAGCTCCGCGGTCCAGGCAAAGCCGTGATAGGCCTAAAATAAAAATGTCATTTTTCTCCTGCTTTTGGTCAATTTAAAGCCCTACTACGGCCCAAAAACCTTTCCCACCCAGCCACTGACCTCTACCCCGTCGTACGAACCTTTATACCCCTTTTAAGGGTGCCCACACACCTTACGATAATGGCGGGAAATCCCGCGATCGTACGATTATCGTAAGGTATTGTGGAAGCCGTGCGACCTCTACTACTGTAAGGACGCACGACTTTAAACTTACGAACATGTTTGAAAACCCGCCGAGCATCGTACGACGTTTGGCGGGTTTGTGGCATGTTTGTAAGATAAAAGTCGGACGGGCCGGAGTTCGCAAGCGCACACTGCCCGTTCGGCATTGCGGTCAACGGAAGCCCGCCCCTCAGGGGGGCGTGGCTTGTGATCATCGCAAGTACGATCTGCCTGACCAAGACGTGCAGATCGGACGTTTTTTTAAGTACCTTACAACCATCGCAAGACAGAAGTTTTGTGATTGTTGTAAGCAGGGGCGTAACTAGAAATCACAGGGCCCCATAGCAAAATTTTGTATGGGGCCCCCGTGATTTCTAGTTATACCCCTTGCAGAGCCCACTCGAGATCCCAACCAAGGGTGACCCTGCAGAGCTCACCATAGACTCTCTATGGTGGGCTCTGCAGGATCACCCTTTTAGTCATTGGCCCGGAGGAATACGTAATGCAGGTTCTTTGTACTGCGCTCCATACAGGACGCACCGGGCTCCATACAGGACGCACCGGGCTCCATACAGGACGCACCGGGATCCATACAGGACGCACCGCGCTCCATACAGGACGCACCAGGCTCCATACAGGACGCACCGCGCTCCATACAGGACGCACCGCGCTCCATACAGGACGCACCGGGCTCCATACAGGACGCACCGCGCTTCATACAGGATGCACCGCGCTCCTAGGGTGAGCTCTCATCCCTCCTTTCTCCTCACAATTGATGCGGTTTTGGTGGTGAGGATAACCCTCATTAGGGCAGACTGCACAGTTATCGTCCTCATACAAGGACTAGCAGTGTAATCAGCTTACGTCTTGTGTAGGCGGCATTAGTCCCTTAATTCCGCTTTAACAAATGCTATGGGATGCTGGCGGGATTAAGTCACCATCTGCGTTTTCAGGTCATTCGCCGGGGGAATACGGAGAACTCGAATGACCCAATTTGTAGTCCTTTTGGTAAATGAGATCTCTTTACAGACTTGCCCCGTGTCATTGATCTGTGCACGTTACCCTTCTGTGACCGGGTCGTGCAAAGTGCTGACACAGGAATGAGCCCGGGGCTTGTATTCACTTTA